GTAGATAAGTTCTAGAAAAGCACTTATTATATTTTGATTTCCATTCACAGTCATCATAGTTGGCTGAAAAAGTTCTATAACATTAAGCCTCTGATTTATAATCACTACAATAAGCTGATCTTGTCACACATCCTGATCCTCCAGTTTTGTATAAAACAGTACATGTTTCATTTGAGGTTTGATAATTTAAACATTCAGTATCTGAATCATAAGAATTGCTATCTGGTGCATCTGAGCATATTGCATTTCTACAAATTGTGCCAGTCCATATACAATTCTTTTTATTAAACGTAATTTTGCAATTTTCTTATGATCTATAAGAATTACAAGTCATTTCTAAAAATTAACAACCTGTTTTAAAATTATTAACTGTGCATATATCCAATGTATTATAACAACCTGAATGAGTATTTAATGGAATATTTGTACAAGTTCTATCAACACAATTAATACCATTCCAATAACAATCTCCATTTGCTTTCGACCCTCTTTAACAATTTTAAGAATTTAAACCTGAACACTTAGTAGGCTTAGCTATACATCCATCTGAATTATTGTTTGAGATACAATTAGAAAGATAATTTCTACAGCCGGAGAATGTAAATTATTCTGCTGATAATACACCTGGTAATCCTACAACACGAGCAGTTGCACAAGTTTTCTCAACACATGCAGATGTAAGGGTATTCCATAAACATGTTGGAAATCCAGTTCTTTGTATTTCACAATTTTCTGCTGATCTTCTAGCTGCACAAGTTGTTGGTAAATCTTAACATCCTTAAATTAATCCATACACTGGATTATTAGCAACACAACCTGATTTGTAATTATTGCATTCTTCAGTTGTTGATGATGCCCTAGGAGCAGTTGAACAAGCTTTATCAATACATTATGAACCATTCCAACCACATTCTTGGTATGATCTAACTCCATTTGTAACTTATAATCTCACATTACATGCAGATTCAATTGTAATAGCTTCACATCTGAGGGGTATAGGAACACATCCAAAACCTGTATTACTCAAAGTACAACTAGAATCATAAGTTTAACAATCTGTATGACTTTATAAGGTTGATGAAGCTAGCACACATTCTTTTTTGTAACATTTTCCCTTCCAAATACATGCTTTGTTATTCAAATCTTTATCACAAATAGTTTATTCCAATGAATTTTCACATGTTTTCTCTACACAACCAGCTAAGGTTTTATTTACTGTACAAGTTGATAAAAAGGCAACACATAAATCATGAGTAGTATTACTTGATGGTGCATTAGTACAAATCTTATCTTTGCAGCCTGAACTTGTAGTATCCCAGAAACAAGTAGCTCCATAAACATTTTTGATACAAGCAGCTTCTAAAGTGATATTTGAACATGTTGTATTTGTTACACATCCACCTCCTGTCTTTGTTATACAATTATTATTTGGTAAATATGCTTCACATGCATCATTAGTTGTTAATGTTGTTGGAGCATTTGTACAACTTCTAGGTTAACATCCACCTCCTGCTTTAACTGTACATGTTGGTAAATATGATGTACACAATTCATGAGTATTATTAGTTGTTGGTGAATTGCCACAAGTCTTTTCTTTGCATGTTGTATCCCAAATACAATCAGTTCCTGATGAATTTTTAACACAAGCTGCTTAGACATTTGCAGCAGAACAAGCTCCATTAGATACACAACCTCCACCTGATTTAGTAATACATCCTGTTACAAATCCAGCACAAGCTGAATTAGTTGTCATAGTAGTTGGTGCATTTGTGCATATCTTATCAACACAAGCAGATCCAGTCCAAAAACAATCACCACCTGAACTATTTTTAACACATGCAGCTAAGATAGTTGCAGCTGCACAAGTAGTTCTAGTAATACAACCTCCATTAGGTTTAGTTGTACATGTTCCATCAGTTCTAAAGGTTTTACATGTTTCATCAGTTGTTAATGTTGTTGGTGCATTATCACAAATTCTATCTTTACATGCTGCTCCATCCCAATAACATGCCATTGTTCCTAATTTATTCCAAACACATTAAATTTCTAATGTTTAATCACTACAATTATTTCCACTATCAACACATCCACCTCCAGTTTTAGTTGTACAAGTTGGTATCACATCTCTACATTCTTTATCTGTAACAAATGTAATTGGTAATCTATCACAAGCATTAGCATCTACACAAGTATTATTTGTTGTATCCCAGTA